AGAGAAGAAAAGACGTCTTTTCAGGAGCTCAGAAGGAAACACTTCAGGTTTAGCAAAAGTCCTAGCAAAGCAAATATTTAAGATCAGAAATTAAAATATCAAATCTATCACATAGATAACCTTTGACCTGAGTAGGAAGAAATGAACAGACTCAGGTTTCTCTGGTATTTGTAACATCAGAAACATAGCAACCACTTAGACACCTAACATTTCCGGTTTTCTAAGAGCTTTCTGAGCCAGTAACAGTCACATGACTGTGACCACAGGAAGCTGACAAGCTTTCAGAAACTAGAAAACAGACTTCCTCTTCTAACACAGGCAGATGTGCTAAAACAGCTTTGCTCTTGGCTCTGTGGGTTTGCGCATCTGGTTTAGATCTTAGATCAACTTGTTTAGGTGCAAACAATAACTCAGATTTTCTACAACACACAACACAGAAGAATAGGAATAAGAAGGTAATAGTAATAATAACAAAGATGTGTTTTCAAACAATTACAGCAAAACATTCTTTTAAAACTGTAAATGTTTTTAATTCAATTTGAATTTAATTTTATTTATACAGCGCCAAATCACAACAACAGTCACCTCAAGACACTTTATATTGTACAGTAGATCCTACAATAATACGTACCGAGAAAACCCCAACAATCATATAACCCCTATGAGTAAGCACTTTGGCGACAGTGTGTTACGGCCCTAGCAGAGCCTCCTCTTGAAGGTGCCTGTGTGGGCATGTCCTACAATATCTTCTGCCTGAGGTGCCACCTTTCTCTTTTACACAGCTGACTCACATCAGTAATTAAAAATATTTAAGCCAAGGGAAAGGTGAGCTCTGGGCCTTACGCACAGGCCAATGTTTTTTTTAAATGGTACTCTTTTTAAGATAGGGAAACATCCAACTGGGTTGTGTGATGTGTGCAGTGCTATGGAGATGGTTGAGCATGTGCTTGGTAGTTGTAGGAAGTATGCAAGTCACAGGAGGGTGATGAGGGGTGAAATGAGTGGTGGAAGGAAACTTACGTTTGAACAAGTGGTTGATAAGTTAAGTCGTGGTGAAGGGACAGGGGTGGTTTTTCGTTTTCTGAGGAATACTGGTCTCATTAAGAGGATCTGAGGACTCACGAGTGACGGAAGGTTAAAAGCCAGGAGATGGCAGTAATGCAACAATTTTGGATGCAAGCTGCTGTTATAGTTGAAAGAAAAAGAAGAAGCTCTGGGCCAGAGTGCCATGTGAATGGTTACAGTTAGTGAGCTGAGTGTTTGTAGCTACTGAGCTGTGTTTGGTGGTTGCAGCTAGTAAGCTGTGTGTGTTCTGCTCCTACTTGGTGGGGAGGAGTGTGTTTGGCAACTTATCCTTCCCTGGCCTACTTAGTTTAATTGACCAACGTTTTGCTTTGTTTCTTTAAATGATGATAGCGGCTTGTCCGTCTCTTTCAGTTAGTATCAATAGAAACTTTAATAAAACTCTTTAATTTAACCATTTTGCCTCTGTCTCCTTTTTCTGACCCGCACACATTTTGTTACTTCTCTTTCATCGGCTGGACCCTTTTTAGGGGAATGTAACAAGTGGGGGCTCGTCCGGGATCTTTGAAAAGGGAGTTTCATGTTGGATTTGGTTTTTGATTATCTTGCTTTGTCACCTTGTGTCACCTTTAGAGAGCCACAACTTCCCAGTTAAGTTAGATGAATGTCCAGCTGAGCTTTTTAAGTTTTTCCTTCAGGCACTCTTGTTATTTTGCCTTTCTTATTTTTGGAGTAATCCTGGGCGGGGATTAGTTCCCTGTTGGGGGTAGGCAATTTGGGGCTCTGGTGGCTGAAGCTTTGCCTTTCAAGTCTGCTCGAGCCCAGCATGCTCCAGAAGATAGGTAGGTATAGTTTGGTGTGCTTAGGGACTGGGTAAGTTGTGTTTGTTTAATGTGTATGCTGCAAGAGGTAAGTTGGTCAGTTAAAGTAAGTTGTGTAGTTCACCATTAATTGGTTAATTATTGGGTAGTCTCTGAGTGAGTTGGCAGAGGAGTGTGGTAGTGTCTTAATTGGCAGTGCACAGGTGTCTAGAGGCTCGTTTATAAACAATAACATCCACCTGGTACCAGTTTTCTGTGAATCCAGCGTTGAGAGCTTCAGTGTATTTTAAAGCATAGCAACTGCATTACAGTGGCCTCAAGGTAGGTGTGTGTGTGTGTGTGTGTGTGTGTGTGGGGGGAGGGGGTGATGTTGCTGTGTAAATACACGAGTAAGGCACAGGAAGCTTGTTCTGGTTTGTCTCGGCAGGATGCCCTAGTCTATGAAAAGATTAAAAGTGCAGTACTCTGTGAGCTTGTGCTGGTGGAGGACTTTAAGAATGCAGTGCCTGAGTCTATTGCTTTTTATTTAAGTGAACAAAGGGTTTCCACTTTACAGCAAGCTGCCACCCTGCCAGATGAGTTTAAGCTGATTCATAAAGCAAATGCTTTAGGACATGTACATTTTTTTTTTGTTAAATTAAAGAGTTTTATTAAAGTCGCTCAACTAAAAGAGATGGACAAGCCGCTATCACCATTTAAGGAAACAAACAGAACTCAAGCGTTGGTCAATAAAGTAAAAAGTAAGTAAAAAAAAGAGCAGCTCACTAGCTGCAACCACACAAGCACACACCTCAGTAGCTACAAACACATAGCTCACTAGCTGCAACCATTCACATGGCACTCTGGCCCCAACACGTTCTCACTCCCAAAGCGTAACATTTTACGCTAGGTGACAAATCGTCAACATATTACTTTTTTGGCTACCCACCACGTTCCTAAATGACGACCTCAAAAACATGAGGAAATATGAGAACCGTCTGGACTCAATCTACACATGTTCGCTCTTTTTCTTCAAATCGTTTAGAAACACACTATTTTACATCATTAAAGTCCTGGTTAGGTTTAGGGCTGGAACGTCTATTACCGCGTGAGCGTCATTGCACTGGATTTCAGCCATAACCCGCCGCGTACCATAAGAACGCCGAAGGTCTCCTTTCGCATTCCTCAGGAACGCCGCGGGACGTGACAAAACGTCGCCATGTTACACCTCAGGAGTGAGAACAGGCTCCTGGCCCAGAGCTCACCTTTCCCTGGGCTTAAATCCCTTTAATTACTGATGTGAGTCAGCTGTGTAAAAGAGAAAGGTGGCACCTCAGGCAGAAGAGATTGTAGGACACGCCCACACAGGCACCTTCAGGAGGAGGCCCTGCTAGGGCCGTAACACAGTGGGAAGGAAAAACTCCCTTTTAAAAGGAAGAAACCTCCGGCAGAACCAGGCTGAGGGAGGGGCAGCCATCTGCTCTGAGCAGCTGGGGTGAGAGAAGGAAAAGAGGCTAAAGACATGCCCCCCAGCCCAATGGTGGAATTTCTAAGTATTAGTTTTAGATCCTGTGGCCAACTTGTATATGGAAGAAATGGAAAAGACGGCTTTGTTATCCTACCCTGGAACACCACCAACCCGTTGGTTTAGATATGTGGATGACACCTGGGTGAAAATCAAATCTCAAGACATACCACAATTTACGGATCACGTTAACTCAGTGGATCAACACATCAAATTCACCAGGGAGGATATGAAAAGTGGCAGGTTAGCCTTCTTAGACTGTGAGATTTCCATCAGCAATGGGGGACATCTAAAAGCTGATGTGTACTAAACCTATGCAAACTAAAACATTACTTTTAAAAACACCAGTATAGGTTTATGAGGCCTATAAGTAAAAAACTACATTTTCCGTGAAAATGATTTCACTTCCGGTTTCGGGCAGGTGATGGCGGACATGCGATAGTTTGAGCTGACGTCTATTTCAATGTAGGAAGTGTTAGGAACAGCTGATCGGCAAAATGTGTGTCTGGAATATTATGTTTTTGTTGCTGCAAGTGCTTTTTATGCAATTTTTGCAAAGCTAAATGTGGAAGGAAACCATGACGTAGGACAAGCTGATGGCATAAGATGTAAGTTCAACTCCTCTGGTTTAATATGTAAAAAAAATTATTGCACTAGCTTACGTGGTTCCTATTCTACAGGGATTTAAACATAGTTACGCAAAACGGAGCGTGCCTGGTCCGACCGGTTTTGAAGGGTTAAGGTTTGCCCCTCATTATCCACTGGAGCATAAACTGGGTGTCATCAGGACGTTACAACGTAGAGCGAACACCCCACATCCCCACAGACACAGCGGTCAGGAAAAGAAGAAAAACAGAACATCAAGAAGTCCCTGAGTAAATGTGGGTATCCCAGCTGGACTTTTGTCAAGGGAAGGCAACCAAAGAAAGCGCCAGCCGATTCAGGAGAGAAGGACAACCGCTGCCTAAGTGAAAACGCGTAGCGATCCCTTATGTGTCAGGAGTATCGGAAAAGTTGAGACGCATTTTTTCTAAACACCCCAAAACATGCTGTGCCAAAGAAATTGGTCCACCCCAAGGATCAGGTCACCCGACACAAACAGAGTAACATAGTGTACGCTGTTAAGTGCAGGAGGAGTGCCAGGATTTATACATCGGGGAAACCAAACAACCTCTGTGTAAGCGGATGGCACAACACAGAAGAGCTACCTCGTCAGGCCAGTCTGCAGTCTATTTACACATACAGGCCAGTGGACACTCTTTCAATGATGAGGATGTAACATCCTGGACAGGGAGGAACGCTGGTTTGAGCAGAGTCAAGGAGGCCATTTACGTGAAAAGGGAAAGACCATCTCTGATTCAAAGAGGGTATATCTTTCACCATCTTACAAAGTCTCCGTGAATGGTATTCATGGCCATTGATCGGTGGGCTTTGATCAGTGGTTGTTGATCAATGGTCATGACAATTTGCATATTAATGAACATAAACTGACCTCCCAGCCCATTGTTCATTCAGTGGTGCTAGTTTCACTTATTATTAAAATGTACTGTTTATAAGGTTGGAAACGTGCAGTCAGCTGAGACTGAAGAAGTCACTTGGATGAGTGACGAGACATTTCTCCCACTGAAAACACTATGTCCAAATGAACAGAATCAACTTTTGGAACTTGCTAGCTAGCTAGCTAGCGTTAGCCTAGCACTGCAGCTGCCTCTCGGCTCATTTTACTTTAAAATTAACCCACAGCTTTAAAAACCTATAAAAATCTCTCAATGAAATGTTCTGTTGAGTGTTTGAATATAGGCAGCACGGTGGTATGGTGGTTAGCACTGTTGCCGCAAAGCAAGAAAGTCCTGAGTTCAATCCCACCATCAGGCCGGGATCTTTCTGTGTGGAGTTTGCATGTTCTCCCCGTAGGTTCCCTCCGGGTACTCCAGCTTCCTTCCACAGTCCAAAGACATGCAAGCTATTGTGGGGATAGATTAACTGATTAATCCAAATTGCCCATAGGTGTGAATGCAGGAGTGAATGTGAGCGTGAATGGTTGTCTGTCTCTGTGTGTTAGCCCTGCGACACACAGTCCAGGGTGTACCCTGCCTCTTGCCCTATGACAGCTGGGATAGGCTCCAGTGCCCACTGCAACCCTGGAAAAGGATAAGCCGAAGCGAATAGATGGATGGTGTTTGAACTTAATCATGCTGTGATTGCAGCCATTCCCCAATTCTCTTTTTATCTCTAAACCAAATCATCAGAACATGGAAATATAATCATCACATCAAAATGATGTGACTGGAAGAATGCAGCAGTCTGTGCTCCACCTGCTCCTTTCTCCTCCACACCTCCAGGTGGAGAACATGGATGTATAAATCTCTACAGAATTCTTTGAATATTATCCTGTCTTATCAGTTTTCAGTGAACTCATCAAAAATTCTCACAGACCCCAAAATAAGCACAAAATAACTTTTTTGGACATTTACTCTCTGATATTTGCTCTTCAGCTTGAGTCTCCATCAGTGGGAACATTTCCTGATTCAAATTTTCTTTGTTTGCATCAAACTCCATGAGAATCAAAGTGTGAATCAGAGTCCTGATAATCAGATTCTATAGAAAACATGGAGACTGTAGAGGAGAATATGTTCATTTGTTCCCTTCAATAAAAATCAATCAGTTCCTCAAATAAAATTAGTCCTTGATCAGTTTGATTGACAGGACAGATGATAAGAGGTGCAGAGTTTTTACCACCATCATTAGGATTGGGACTGAAGAATGGGCGGAGTTTGTGAGTGAAGGAGCAGCCAGTAAAGGAGTAGATCAGAGCTGCAGCACCTACATCATAAAAGGAGACCAGACCCTCCTCATAATCCACAAACACCCCCACCTTCTCAGGACCAGGATGAAGACAGATATGGACTGAAGGACCAGCAAGACCCTTGTACTTATTTCCATTTCTCAGCGCTACAGTCCAAAAACCATGCTGAGGACTCAGTGTGATTTCTCCCTTCCTGTTGATTGACTCTCTGGCCACTCCTAAATCCCAGTCAATCTTTCCTTTAACCTGAACTTCAAAGTAAAATCTGCCTGAAGAGAAATTCTGCTCTCCTAAAACATTTGCACAGTAAGAAAATCTCTCTGGGTTGTCTGGAAGAGTCTTCTCCACATCACTATCATAAACTTGTTTTCCATTATCAGATAGGATGAGATTAGGATGAGCTGTATCAGGATCCAGAGTCACATCCACTGCATACTGCTGGACCCTCTGCAGCTCAGCCTCAAACAGCTTCTTCTTCATGGGTTTCCACATTGTCTCCTCCAGCTGAGCTACAGCTCTCACCACAGTCCCCTCATATGATGGTGGATGGACTCTGACCTCTGTCCAGTCCTTGGTGGGTGGAGCAGCTTTCAGGGACGAGAAGCTTTGGAGGAGGTGGAGGTGGTCTTCAGAGCGTGAGAGCTGCTCCACCTCAGAGCTTCTCTCCATCAGCTCAGAGATTTCCTGTTCCAGATCTTTGATGAGACCTTCAGCCTGTTTCTCTGTAGTTTCCTGTTTGTCTTCGATCTCCTTTATGAGCTCCTTCAGGCGTCTCTCAACAGACTCCATCAGAGCTGTGAGGACCTGAACACCTTCTGCTTTCTGTCTGTCTGCGGCATCTTTACTCATCTTCACCGACTCTTTGATCTCCTGAATCTTCAGTCGTCTCTTCTGGATCATCTGCTGAATCTCAGCCTCTGTCTTCTCCAGCTCTGCCTTCATTCCTTCATATTCTTCTCTCAGAGGAACAAACTCGTGGTTCTTGTGGTCTAAAAAAGGGCAGAGCATGCAGACACATGTCTGGTCGGTCTTACAGAACAGCTCCAGAATTTTATCGTGCTTCGTACACATCCTGCCTTCCAGGTTCTCCACAGCATCAATCAGCTGATGTCTTTTCAGACCTTTCAGTGTCAGATGAGGCTCCAGGTGAGTCTGACAGTAGGAGGTCTGACACACTAGGCAGGACTTCAGGGCCTTCAGTCTGGTTCCAGTGCAGACGTCACAGGGAACTTCTCCTGGTTTGGCAGCTTGTTGCTTGGAGCTGCTGCTGCTGGCTTTCTGCTGAGCTTCACGTCTGAACTGAGCAACCATCTCAGAGATGAAGGTGTTGACCCTCAGCTGAGGTCTAATGTAGAAAGTCTCTTTACACATGGGACACTGACACATGACATTTATATCCCAGTGCTGACTGATGCAGGTTTTGCAGAAGTTGTGTCCACATGGTGTGCTGACTGGATCAGTGAACACATCCAGACAGATGGAGCACAGAAACTGATCTTCAGAGCGCAGATTGCTGGCAGAAGACATGTCTGCAATCTGAAGGAGAAAGAAAAGAAACACATTTGATTCAAAAAATTCACTTTAAATGTCATTTTTAAAAAGAGAGAAACAAGTGTCAGTAGTCTAAGGAGATTGTCTAAGAAGCCTAAGAAGCTTCTGCAGTGGTGAGTCGGTGGAGAGTCTCAGATTTAAGCCCTATGGGCCTTAAGGGAGCGGAAGCTCTTCCGAGACCTCAACAGTGAGAAGAGTCCATAGTTGGGATGGGAGAGGTCCATCATAATCTTCCTGGCTTTGGTCTTGCTCCGGTTGGTGTAGATCAGGGCAAGGCAACCTTTCTGATGACGAGTGCCATCTAAAATTTCCTCAGAAGTCAGTGTGCCATATGATTGCATTAGCAATAAATGTAATAACGCTCTATATTAACAGTTACACACTATATAGAACCACTTTATAGAATTATATTTGTTCACAGATGTTGGCAGCTATCAGCGAAAAGTTATCAGCTATTTTGAAAGAAAAAAAGACCTTTTATCCATAACAAGAACTACATAACTACATAAATGAACTGTACACAGAAAATGCAAATGCTATTTATGGTCTCCTCACAACAATGATAAGAAAAATAAACTGGGCCAATATTACATGTTTGTTAATATAGAGATTCACATGTTAATGTGATCTCTGGTCTCCCACTCAGAGACACAGGTCTCCGAGTGTCTAGTATTCAGACCTGAGGACTCTCTTCATGTGAGAGAAAACCTGCTCACACAGACATGTAGAGCCAAATAATAACAATAAGGCCGCTGCAATGTTCTGAAGACAGTTAAACTTGTCAGGTAGTGATGTCCAGCAGGTAAAAATGCAGCTCCATGAACACGCACAGCTGTGGATTCCAGCTGCTTCGATGTTGCATTAACTGGCATTAACTCAGCCAGTTAATGTGAGACAAATCTAGCTGCTCATTAAAGATTTCTGGTTTGATCATAAAATAAAACATTGGTCCAAACACCTGAAAGTCCCCAAAATGCATTGTGAATTCTGTCTCGAGTCTACTGATGTACCCGTGTATTTCCGTGGTCCTGATGCTGCGCTGAGCGGACAGCTCCTGAAGCTTTTGAAGTGTCAGAATGTGGAAAGCTAACAACGTCCC